GTCTGTGCCTGGACCCACTCATGTATGCACAGTCTCCTCTGTAGTTATCCAAACACAAACCATCCAAGCATGACTTTCAGGTTTTTTACAAAGGAGCAGTTTTTGGGAGATGATTTTATTTGCAAAACCACTTGTGATTAGGCATGTCACGATAACACAAGGGATATATATTTTCACTGTCCTTAAAGCAAAGATCGATTAAACCTAGGGATGGTACAAGATCTCGTGCCACAAGATCTCGGGAGACAAAATGATCTTGTGAGATGTTCGTGTTTACATTTAGATTGGACAAAAAACAGTTAAGTATTGGTGAGTAACAGCTCTTACAGTTCCAAATACTATTAAAATGGGGAAAAAAATGAAATCAAAGAAATTAAAAATTGTGAGGCCAAAATTGGAAAATGAATCGTGAAATTTATATATTAGTTTTTAGAAATTTATCTTAAAGTCTCATCTTGTCTTGTTCTCATGGACCTTATCTCATATCTTGTCGCGTTTTGTGGAAATTGAGTATCATCGCATCCCTAATTAAACCCTTTTCTAATTGTACATCATCATCAAATATCATGAACTGAAACAAACACACAATGAAACATTGAGTCCTAGAAGTTTTTTGTTTTGTTTTTTTTTTGATGGTGACTAATCGTGATGAGATGTAGCGGAACCAGCACAGGGCACAGAGGAGGAGCAGGCCTTCCAGTCGCCTTTGTGTCAACATGATCACATCTGAACTCTGATGAAGGGTCACAGCCAAAGGGCGAAAATTATGCAAGAGTATGTCTATTGTCTACTAGTGTACTACAGCAATGTCGCATGAAGCAAGAGGGGTGTTCATTCTTCAGCAGTCAGTGTGACTTCAAATGCGGTAAGTATCCAGTTGCTCTAATTACTTAGATCTGTAGTTGCCAAAGGAGGGTCCAGGTTCTAAGGGATGGGACAATAAACAATCATTTCTTTTATGGTGATAAAAACAGTACGCAGCAATCGTCCGTGGCACATTTTTATAATCATGATGATCGCCAACAAAGATAATTGCCATTTCATCACCAAAATATGCTGAAAAATGATACTTAACCATGATGTTTTCTTCTAGATCATTATTGCCTTCACTTTCACTAACAAAGTACAACACTATAAAAGTTGTTTAAATATGAAACCTATTGATAATATCCAAATATCATTATTCATATCATTAACATTTCAAACTGTCACCAACTTTCATAATTATTGTGATATAATTGTTAATCTCAATTGCCTAGGCCATGATAATTGTCACACTAAATTTCTATGTCGCCCCATGCCTACCTGCTTCACACAATCATACAAAAAAAGAAAAAAATGAAATGGAAAAAAAATACTTTAATTACAGGAAAAAGACAAACCTACCTTATAAAAATAGCAATATATAAATGTTTTTATTCTTAATTATAAGTATCAAGGTGAAGGTTGACTGTGTTTTGTTTATGCTGTGAATGTCGCCCCTGTGATAGAAAAGTAAGGAATTGCATCGCTGGTCTATTGCATTATGTATTCTTCAAGTGTATGCAAGTTTAAACTCCACACCGTCTAAAGGTCAATAGCAAATGAACCACTGCAAGAGCGTTTTATTTAAAGAGTCAACTACAGACTGTGACACACAAAGCAGCAGGATCCTACCACAGGAACAGCAGGAAGTCATGAATTATGAAGAATACATTTTGCAGGCATATCATAGCGACAGAGTATAGCAAAGAGTGGCAGAAACTCCGGGGAAAACTGTGCGGAGGCAACCATGGAGCTTAAATGTGGCACTGGGAATCAAATACCTACATTTGTTTTATATACAAATGTATTTTAAAACACAAAAAAAAAAAACTTAAAAATAACACCTTGTACTAGGGGTGGGCGATATATCGATATTTTAAATATATCGAGATAGTTTTTAAACTCGATATGAATTCTGACATATCGTATATATCGATATAATGTTTATATTAAATTTTGATTTGGCCGCTTCGCTTGTTTGTCTTCTCTCTCGGCGCCTCCGCCTCCCTCATTTTGTTCGCTCGTGTCTCCTTCACTCCTCACTACCGCCGTGAACGCCGAAAGTTGCTGCCAGTGAAAAGCTTCAAGCACCACGTAACTTTTCCACCATTTACAGACAAAACCATCAGCAGCACATCTCATATTCCACCGAGTCACGTCCTTTTGCCCGAAAGAAGCTAAACGAGCTGAGCTGCGTGAGAAGTGCGCTGTTTATGCAAATGAGCCATGCACTTAAGTTTCGTTTCTGTAAAATGTAAACACACGTGCGCAAAACTGCATTAAACACATTATTATCTCAAAATGGCTGATGTGGCTCTAGAGTCGTTATGCTTTATTTATTGTAAAGTTTAATAATGTAAAGTTTATTTATGCAGAAGATTTTAATCAATAATCTGCTGCAGTGTCACTTGTACAATTGTGTTTGGAAACGTTGGGTTTGATCTGCAGTGGATTGTGGGAAACCTCAGAGCTCCTGACGCTGGTGAGAAACATGGATCTGTTAAAATAATGAACATCCTGAGCTTCCTGTGCTAAAGGAGCTCATGGTTCTGGTTCTGGTCTGGATAACAGAGTTAATGCAAAGATGAGCTTGAGTTGAGTAGTTTTATTTATGAATGAAAAGAAGGAAATTGTATTATTTATTTATTTTAATTAAATGTATTATTTCTTTTATCTTATAGTTAAATTATTATTTATGTAATTAGGGTTGTTGTAATCTTAAATGTTCCTGTATGAACTGCCGACCTCTTACACTTTAATAAAAAAAAGACCTTGTGGAATTTGGCAGATTTGTTTTTGCAGTTTTCAGTTTTAGGGGGTTATTTTTTCTTGAACATATATCGAGATATATATCGTATATCGAGATATAGCAAAATATATCGAGATATATTTTTTTGATCCATATCGCCCAGCCCTACCTTGTACCATATCCTGAACTTACCCTTTTGTTCCTGAGGTTAAACACTATAACAATACAGTGTCGTGGGTCTTTACAACGTCATCATAGCTCTTACATCAGTATCATTACAATCATCATAATGCAACAATGACAGAAAAAAAGAAAAAAGATCTAAATTAATCTGAAGTTGTGTGTCTAAAATTGTAAATTGAAACTAAACTTATTCAAAGTATGTCAAAATCTTGTCTTGTCTCATTTTCATGGACTCGATCTTTTGTCTTGTAGGAACAGTGTCTCATCTCATCCCCAATTAAAACCTAACACTTTAACTGATCCTTTGACTGTAATTGTTCTGAAGTTAGATTCAGACTCTTATCTGATTGCCCTCTGGGGCTCTTAATGTACTTTATAGCTCCAACATGAAGAGCTCATTAAGTAAATCAGGTCCCTAAGGGCAGTTCAGCAGCAGCCTGATGTTTACATTGTGTCCGCTCCACTGGCCCACATAAGACGATGAACAAAGCGCCTCCTGCTGGTAGAAACCTGACTCAGCACAAATGTGAATAGAGCCTAATATAGAGTGGCCTGCTGTGGTTTGGACGTGACATGATCCTCCTCGACATGTGCCACGTATTCCCACTGACGTTACGTAAAAATAGATAAACTGCAAGCGGGGATCGAGGGACAAAAAAGCTCTCCAGTATTTAAATATACTCCGGTACAATGAAGGCAGCACATAATACAACAAGAAGCACTTTAATTCTAGATTGAAAATGACATTCCTTCCCTTGTTATAAAGCCTTTGAAAAGCTACAATAGCGACAAATTACATAAAGTGGTTCGTATAAAATCAATGTCTAATTTGATAAGAAAAAACTCACCTGGAAACACTGCAAATGCTCATGTATAACTTGTAAGAGTTTGTTAAGAGTGTATTTGACTTTTTATAGCCTTTACTCAAACTTTTTAACTTGTATTCAATGCTGTATTGACTTCTATGTACTGCTTGACCGCAGTTCTGCAAAGGTCAACTAATTTAGAAAGCAAGTACCATTAAATCTGGGCAAATGTTGAAAAGCAATGAACTGAAATAAAACTATACAAACACACACAAATACACAGACACAGACACACACACACAGACACACACACGGACACAGTCTAGATTTGGATGAAGAATTGCCTAAAACCAAAGGGGAAAATCATTAAGAACAAGATGAATATTTGTATACGAGTCATGGGCATTCACATTAAACATTGTCTGTGAAAAGTGAATGGACATCGATCAACAGGGAGAAGTTAACTTTTAACTTTTCTATGGGGAGTACTTTCCAAAACAAATCCAAATACACTATATCAAAAAGGCCAAAACTAACTCCGCTCCTCACTCAGAATGTCAGGCCAAGTACGTGTAAGTATCCAACAAGTGGGCTGGAAAAACATTTTAAAAATTCACATCAAAGTTCAGTTGGTTTCTGAATTTGCGAAACATGCTACCAATACAAAATTTGTCAATCTGAGTGGTACATATAGTTGATCAAGTTTGTCTGTATCTGCCAGAGTCTAGTCCAGAGAAGAATTACATAACACCTCAGGATCTCAACTCAAAAGGTAATCAGAGCTACACCTGCACCTGTCCAATTTACACCACATTATAGCAGCGCTTTTCAGCTCAAACTATTCAGACAAGTCCTAAATCCTTTTAAAATTCAATCACAGGCTAACAAAGCAGTCACACACAGGGATGAACTGAAGAGCCATCTAACAGGTGGCTCGTCAGTTCATCCCTGCACAGATCTGCAGTGAAGTATCGGTTTGTGGCTTAATGCAGTCAGACTGAGGTTAAAGACAACAATAAGAGAAAACCTGTTTGCAGAACACAGCAGCTCAAGAGTCCCAGGGGAGCACACAGCAGGAGACAAGCACAGCAGTGTGGGAGGAAAGAGCAACTCAACTTCAACTTTCAGCACAGACACAAACTCTGGTCTCTCTGCAAACTTTAGACTCAACACACTTGAACCTGTGGAGCAGCCTCAGCACACAGGTGACAGTTAGAATAAACTCAAAATGGACTCACCGGTTTGAAGTCCTTGGGGGTGCACTCCTGGCCTTGGTAACGGCAGTAGAGCATCATCTCCTGCAGGTCGTGTCCCACTCTCTCGATGAACTCCCTCATGCTGAACGGAGTGGGCTTGTACGCCGTGAAGTTGGACTTTTCCTCTAGGAATGCCAAGACCTCGGGCTCGGCCAGGTGAGGCTGTGGGATGGCCAGGTGCACGTCCAGCAAGGCCAGCAGCTCACCAGCGTGATACAGGTCGTTACGAGTCAAACGGCTGAATCGATACGCGTTCAGGTTACAGATGGTGACTGCTGGAAACACCAGGCTGCTGGATGCCACAGCATCAACACTGGTCACATGGGGGTAAGACAGGAAGTACGCCAGTCTCTCCGCGCTCTCCACCGCCAACAGCCCCAGGCAGGACAGCAGCGCCAGGGCCCAGAGGAGGCGGCGCACAGAGGGGCGTCCCGAGGGAAAGACGAAGCGCAACCCATGCAGAGTGCTGGAGCGGGCAAACGCCTGCCACGAAGAGGGCCTTAAGCTGGAGCTGTCCTCACTGCCCCCACTGACACATGCCCCCTTCAGGTCCATGATGAGCACTGCAGCCCCTCAGCGCTGGAGCCAGTCTCACACCTGCAGCAAGACAAGAGGCATAATCATTACCATGTTAAATCAAATTACAGACAGATTATAATAAGACCAGAACTGACACAGCTCTTTAACTCCACACATTTGTAGTCAGGCAAAGTATGAGGAAGTATCAACATGTGGGCTGTAAGATATTAGTAATTCAGATCAGAAGTTGCTGTGATTTTCTGAATTTAGTTTAACTTGCATTCAGCAGAACTGGTCATCTGCATTACACTATTACATAATCATTTACAGGTTCCCAAAACAATAGACCATCAAAGCTCTACCTGCAAACAACATTCCCCAAGAATGAAATGAAACAAACATGCATGCCCATAGTTAAGTGAACTTTCTCTGTCTACATTCACAACACAGCATTTGTGCAGCAAATTAAATCACACTGAGAAATACATGCACAGATAACCCTGATCCTAAACTTCCAGCACCCCAGCCTCTCCATTCTCCTCTGACAGCTTGATATCTGAGACACATCCCAGGGGTGACTGCTCGGTGTCACCCAGAGCCAGAGGTGAGAGGCACTTATGAGCCCTTAGCCAATCACAGCGCAGTATTTAAGCCACTCATCAGCATCAGCCACACACATACCACCGTAGTCCCCCATGCATGTGCACACAGACCCCAAACGCTCCCAACTCATGACAAACCTCTCCACACCTCTGTCCGTGTCAGCCTAGCGCGGAGTCATTGAACCGGCGTGTGACAGCGACGGAGCGCACGTGAAAGAAACAGAGCCGAAGAGGAGGAAGAGGAGGAAGAAGAGGAGAAAGAGGGGGCGATTAGGAGCTTTTGCGAGCCGATCCGAACTCCTCCCGGTTTCCGCGAGATACATCCATTAAGCGGGGTCTTCTTTCGCTATCCTCCGCGCTCATTTAAGGCAGCAGCGGAAAGCAGTGGAGCAGCACACATGCTTCGCAAAGGGAAGAGTGGAGAGAGGAGAGGAGAGGAGAGGAGAGAGAGGAGGCAGGCAAGGCGGGGGGTGTGGGAAAGACGACTAACAGTAGACTCGGACTCCTCAAAGCAAAGTGTTTTTTTGAAGATATTTTGTACTAATACCCCCACTCTTTTGAAGCTCATTTGTTTGTGGAATCCGCTGCACATTGGGGGAGTGATGGATAGATACTAAAAAGCAAGCAGGCTATTGGAAGGCATGTTAGTAGCAGAGGAAAAAAAACTGTGGTTGGTAATGGGGGAGAGGGAGGGAGCTTGGATGGGTAGCATGTCAAGGGAAGTGATGCAGAAGTAGGGACAGAGCATGAGATGTAGGTTATGGAAGGATGGATAGGAAGAGGATGGGGCTAAAAATATGAAATACAGGGGGAACTAAAAATAAAGCAATGAGCCATTAGGGGTGGTCACTCGAAGAATGTCACAGAGAGACAAGTGTAAGTGACATGTATTGTTAGCATGCAAGTAAAAAGATAACAGATAGCAGTGCAGTCGTGGAGTAATATATCTTGGAGAGGTCGTCAAGATAAGTCGACAGAGGTTGTGGAGGAAATACTAATTTGGTCTTGGGAGAAAAGTGGTCTTATGTTGTTGCCATAGCAAAACATCACCTGCCTTCCAGTGTGCAGTGATTCTCTGTTTGGATTATGCCAGATGCCCTCCCTGTCTAATGCAAACCTTTCTGCAAATCTGAATGGGACTGAATTTAATACATTGGATTATAATGATTTGTCACTGGGTTATCTGTAAAGAATGTACATAGTTAGAAAGGAATAATATTGCTTAGTCTATACAATTTGAAATGGAGCTCAACTGTGGCCACACACCACAAGGTTATTTATCAAAACCAAAATTTTAATTATGAGTAGATTTTTGTGTGATCCAGGATAAGGACTTGGGATGGGACAGTTTATCTTAATAAAAAGGTAAACAAAGCACAATAATATAACAGTTGTTTAAACATGTAACTTACTCATAACATTAAAATTTGTTATTCCTATCCATATATTTTTTAACTGCCAGCAACTTTAATCATTACCGTGATATAATTGTTAATCGCAATTATTATGGGTGTGATAATCGTGAAACCATGCCTGCTGAGGACAGACAGAAAAATTTATAAATTATCACTATCCATCATATTCTGCTTTCACCTTAAATTTCTCACATCTAAGACTGACAAGATATAAGAGACTTTTATCAAGTTGTTGTCATAGAAACTATCACAACTGTAAAATTATTTAATGGCATATTTTCCAATTTATCAAACATAGAAACAATATCCACATATAGCCTAGGCTTAATATACAACCAAATTTGTAACTCTGCTATTTTTATTATACTAAATATTGGCCTAAAGTATTCATATTTCTGTATTATTTATAGGCATTGTGTACACACTTGTGTTGTTAATAAAGATCAAATAAAAAAGCTAAAGAAATTAAATGGCTTAACAAAAAACAGCAGAGCAGTATAACTAAACTAATATTAAGACGAATGGGTTACTTCTAATGGTTTTAGCAGCATGCAGCAAACTATAGCGTGACTTTAAATGTCAATTATGGGCGATGGACCACTTCAGACAGTCTCCTGTTATTTTTGCATGTTTTTGCTGACCATGCGCGCACTTTGCAATTTGAATGAGTGATTTTTTTTTTTTTTTGGCAATTGCTAGCTTACCTTTCCATACCGTGATGATCACTTGAGTAGCAGTAGCCCTCTTGTTTTCATTCAATATGCGGTATGTTCATTGTTTTGAAATTAAAAAACACAAAGCGACCACTCCAACTATCAAAAGTGTAAATCAAACTTGTCCCGATGCACATTAATTAATCAGGATGAAGCAACTCAACTCCCACCTGTGCACGTGTGCGGCGCGTGAGAGGTGCGGGTCCGTGCGTCACTTCGGCTGGAACAGACCGCTGTATTATGAAAAATAAATAAATAAATAAGTAAATAAATAAATAAATAAAACTTCCACGACTGTACCGCAAAGATTTCTCAATTCCCAATTCTCTTACGTGAAAATAAAATTAACGTAAAATTGCATGTGTGTTGGTTACAGTGGATGGCGAACGCTAGTGGTGAAATGGAGTATTACAGTACAAAATTAGGTTTTATCTTGGTGGCCAAAGGACCCTCTTCCACTGCTTAAAGGGTCCATATTACTCTGTTCTCTGGTCTACGTTAAAATGCTGTTTCCTCATCAAAAATAAACCTGGAGCTTTGTTTCATTCACACATTTTTAACACACAAATCCTTTATATTTAGGCTGAGTTCTTCTCTCAAAAAAAAACCCAAAAACACTCCATTCCACCTTGTGATGTCATGTGGTAATACAAGAAGTGCTCCACTGTGTTGTGCTCCGTGCACTTTCACTATCATTTGGATGATTTCAGACCTAGAACTGCCAATCTTTACTGAACAAAAGGTATAGGTGGTTGGTTAACTTGAAAACTACCACTTCGTGACATCACAAGGTGGAACAGAATATTTTGAGCTTTGGAGATGTAAACCAACTAATAACACAGGGTTACTTGAACATGTGTGAATGAAACAAAAAACAAAACGCAACTCCAGGCATGTTGATGAGGTAACAACATGGCTTAAAGCTCACAAGAGTCAATTTTGCGTAAAATAGGATCTTTAACAGAGAAAAAATAATCAGAAGACAGTTTGGGGAATCATTTTTATTCTCATGTACCAAAGTATGAACCAAAGTTAGAAAATATAGTTTTCTCTTCCCAAACCATTGCCATCCATCACTGTCCTCATCCTCCAGTATGCAGCAGTGGTCTGTAAAACAGCAGGGTTTATTGGTTTCTTAAGAAAACAATTAAGAAAATTCTAATAGTTTTACAGGGATTTAACAGTCTCCAGGGTTTGTGCATTTGCAGCCTTTATCCACTTGGTCATTTTTCCAGACATAAGGCTTTTTTGCTGGCTTTAATTTCCTTGCATTCATTTACAAGTTGTTACTGCTTCATTTTCGTAGCTGTATTAAGTATTAGCTTTTATTTTGGCTGGGATCAATTCATGGGCTCTTACCCAATCACATTGTATCTTATTCTGTTTGGGTTTACCATTTGAAATACATTGCCAACACATGACAGTATTTTCAAATGTTTGTTGTATTTTTGTTTCACAATGTCAGAGTATGATTTTCCCCATTTCCCTCGCCTGTACTACACATATATAATTCAGTATGTTTTTTACACTCTTATGTAAGTAAAATATTTATTGTTAATGCACAGTGCAGGCTAATGTTAGACCTACAGGCTAAATCCTTTATCTTTGATTGGAGTACCTTTGAATTCTACTAATCTATTGTGTTATTGGTGGTTACTGGTGGTTACTGATGGTTTAACATTAGTAATTATATCACCAGTAGCTTATTATAAAAATTGGTCCAAATCCTAAACGATTTTCTCTATAATTTCTATTTAAAGGAAGGGTTTATCTATCTTCATGAAGACAAACAGATGATATAACCAAACCAAGTTACAGGTCAGATCTGTGGAAAGGGGAATCTCCTGACAGAATACAGAATGTTTTTTTTTTTTCACCTGTAATGTATAAATGAATCACAGATCATTTTAACACAATTCACCTTATTCTGCACCACCCACTTTTGACTCTAAATGCTCCTAAACTGCACTTTTTGTGGTGGCACTTCCAGTTAAACGGGAATCCAATTAATTTCAATGGAGAATTAGAGAAAGGTTTTGATTGTTAAATATGACATGAAGTATTTTCATATACGTAATATATTCAATGTTCATGTGCACCAACCAGGTCACACTGCACTGATTCTTTAAAATGGCTTTAAAGCCTGTATTGAACTTACTTGCTGTTAGGATCAGCAGCCCAATGCAAGATACTACCTGAATGATGATGGCGGGTTCCACAGCAACTTCCGGAATAAGGTGAATACTGTGGAACATTCCAGGAAAGAAATAACATCTCCATGGTGATAGCACAACCAAAACATTGCATAGTGCACCTTTATATAGGATTGGTGGTTCTCTTTTTCCTTCAAAGCTACACATCTAATGTAAGGTGATTGAGACATAGGTAGAATGCACTCAAATCATTATTCACAGCCCTTTACTGCAGGCCTACTAGTATATCCACTGATGCATAAAAGCACTGGAGGTATTAAATTTAGCACAAGCAGAAGAACCCAATATAATAATATGAGGTGAGGGAACTGCACTATCTTTAGGTAAAAACAGCACCGAACATTGCATTGAAATAGTGTGAGCCAAGATGGAGTGTCAGCATTTTAAAATCTCACATTTTTCTTGCTTTAGGTCGTAAACTAATGTAGTGAAGAAAAATCACAAAACAACAATCACATGGTTTCTCATTGTCTTCATTCATCATTTTGTTTTTGCTCTGGGATTGTGAGAATAACAAATAAAATATAGCCACAAGAGGCAATTATTGGCCCTCTCGTGCACGTACGCTGCAGCTACGCCCCCACAAACACCGCGCCCCTAACTATCCCTAATAACCGTAAATCCCAACCACAACCCTAGCCCTAACCCTAACGCTATACAGTACACCTAAACCTAAACACAACCCTAAGCTTTAACCTATCCCTAGTCATAAGTCTAACCATAGCCCCAACCCCAATCCTAGCTCTAACCCTAAGTCCTAACCCTGCCCTTTTTCAAAATTTTGACGCATTTATAAAAAAAAAAAAAAAAAATCCAAGATGGTGGACTTCCGATTTGTAAAGGGGTGTGGTCACAATATACATTTTTGTTCCTATTGCCATGATGCATCTGGCTACTAAATTTACTTTGGCTATGCCAAAGTTTGTGTAAGGACATCCAGATTTTTGGCTTGTTGCCATGGCAATACAATGTGAGATGGGGTGTGGACATCATTGACCTTTTGGTTGAGAGCATGTCACGGGTATATATACCAAATTTTGTATATCTATGACAAATAAAATGTTACTGTTTATACAAATTAGCTAGGGGGAGCACCCATTTTTGTATTTATCTGTTCAGGGTTGGGGTGTGTATCCACGACTAACATCTGAGTGAAATCAGCCAAAGTTTGTGTGATTTGGCAATTTTACCACTAGAATAACATGGAGAGTTTATGTCATCTCTATGGCAATGGCGTAAAAAACATGACATGGGTGTCTTTTTGGATCGGGATTCCAAAACTGACTTTTGTGCAAAATTTCTGAAATTTTTGAAAAACTAAATTTTTTCTCCTATATAAAAATTATAGGGGCTGCTTATGCCCCAAATTCATTTTTGTTTCATGTTAAATACTTTTAGGGCAGAGAGTTTATGAACTGATTCAAATTTCACTGAAATTGAGCTTGTTTGTGCAAATGGGAGCAATTTGTAAAGATCCAAAATTTCCGAAATTCTAGACAATTTTTGTCGCTTCACTGCTCAGAGACTGTAGGACCTGTGTGAAAAATGTAATAACTTTTGATGTTCCACCCTTTGAGATAATGTGTACCCAATGGATGGCATTAGTGTATTAATATTTTTTTTGGCGAAGTCGGTGAAGAAGATACAAGAAAAATGTTCTGTGTTTTTTTTTTGGCTAACAAGCTATACATTTCTGGAAAGCTCTGGCGCATTCCTACATCATGGTGAGGATCCCTGGTCCCTATGGGCGAGTCACATTGCGTCATTTCACTTTCCGGCCAATAGGAGCATCACAAAAAAGTTAAATACAAAAATGTTTGACAAAAAACAATTTTTAAAGTGATAGATGAGGTGATTTTTTAAATTATAGAGTATGTGAAAATCTCATTTTGTCTTGATTTCGTGGACCTAATCTCGTGTCTGGTCTCATTTTGTCCAAATTGTGTCTTGTCCCACTCTTACTGTCTATGGGAGCAAGCAGATGCAGTTTACTAGTCAGATCTGTGGAGATGCAGCCTGCTCACTAACAGTACACTGTGTATTTGAGCAAAAACAGCACCTTTAACTTAATAAATGCAAGAAGTGTAACTCCACACCACAAGTTACGTACAGTACACTTAACTCACATAGACTTTTACATTGAACTGTACAATGCGTGCAGAACTGAATGTGTCTTCCCTTCTTTCAGATGATCAATATGATGTACTTTGTGGTGATCATGCTGGTGGTGCCCATGAGTTTTGGTGCGTCAGGCCATACTCCACCTGGACGAGGAGCCAACATGGCGTCTAGCATGAAACATCTTCTACATGCTCTACTGGATGATCTATGGGGAGGTTTTTACCTCTATAGACCGCAAGACAAGAATTCATAGTAAGATTTGGTTTCCTGATTTTGGGCAGATGATCTGTGTCATTTCCATCAATAATACAAAAATACAGCACTAAAACTTTGATTATTTGCCATCTGGTCATTTTTTGTTCAATTTAAATACAACATGTAATTACTTTCATTGTTAAAAGATTCTATATTATGCAAGATTTACTCTTTGGCTTTCATGTTACAATGTTGTTGCCTCCTCAAAAACATACCTGGAGTTGTGTTTTGTTGCATTCAAATATGTTTGATTAATCCTTTATTATTAGTTATTAGTTATTATTAGTCTACATCTCCAAAGCTCAAAATGCTCTGTTCCACCTTGTGCAGTTTAAGTTAACAGCTTCCTTTAATCTTCAGTTCAGTAGAGATGGGAAATTCCACGGCTTAAATCATCCAAATGATTATAGTGAAGGTGTATAGAGTTTAAAACACAGTGGAGCACTTCTTGTATAACCACTTCATGTCATTACTGTTTTCCATTTGAGAGAAGAACTCAGCCTAAATCTGCAGGGTTTGTGTGTTAAACATGTGTGAA